CTGCTGTAACTTTATGAAAAGCACTGGCACAGCTCTTTGGCTTAACCGCCTCACTTCAGTGTGGTACTGCAGGCCCTGAGTAATGTCTTTGGCTGTAAAACCGAGGATGATTCAGACCTCTGGCTTGGATAAAATTAACAGTTCACAGACAGCCCCTTCCCATGATGGGATCCACTCTCAAAGACTTGCAACACAATATTTCCTCGTGCAAAAAACAATGAACAGTCAGAAGATTTTGCCTTCAGCTGGTTTGGATATGTGAGTGGGTTTATTCTGACCCCGAAGCCTTATGTTTGATACCCCTACTCTAATCTCTGTTACCCCAACTTTAAGTTACAAGTAAACCCTAATTGTTAGGCATGTTTTAACTGCTTTAATATCGTGTGTTAGCCAATCACAGACACTGAAGGACGTGTAAGGGTGGAGTCCAGGAAAGACCTCAGCTGCTTTGTCATAGAGGGGGCGGAGAGAGAGGATGAGGGCAACTACTCCATCACTGTCACCAACCCTGCTGGAGAGGACAAGGCTGTGCTGTTTCTGAAGATTGTGGGTAAGTGAAGGTTTTACAGGATAACATCAGCTGGTTTCCCCTCGTAGTGAGCAGCAGACCAGGAATGTTTTTTGCAAATACCAGTTTGACCCTGTCTTCTCTGTTGTATTTAAATAAACTGCAATCTTTTTATCAGATGTGCCCGACCCCCCTGAGAATATCAAGTGCACAGGAGTGGGAGAGGACTGCGCCAGCATTATTTGGGACCCTCCTAAATTTGATGGCGGTGCACCAGTTAAAGGTGGAGCATGCATTACATTAATTTGTTTAAGGAAAACAAAATTATTATTCAACCTGTTCACGTAACTGCATTATTACTCCACCAGGTTATCTCATGGAGAGGAAGAAAAAAGGCTCTTCCAGATGGACAAAGCTCAACTTTGACGTGTACGAATCAACCACATACGAGGCTAAGAGGATGATTGAAGGCGTTCTGTATGAGATGAGGGTGTTCGCTGTCAACAGCATTGGCATGTCTCAGCCAAGTCTCAGCTCCAAACCGTTCATGCCTATTGGTACGTTTCACAGTCGTCCTTACGTCCTCTTTCTCAGCAACTCCCTGTCCCTCCTTTGTTCAGTGAAGCCAGTCACTGATTCTCTTGAGTCTCCTTTCCTGTCATCCTCAGCCCCAACAAGCGAGCCAACGCGTCTGACAGTCCACGATGTGACAGACAGCACTTGCAGCTTGAAGTGGCTCGCGCCAGAGAAGATTGGAGCTGGGGGCCTCGACGGCTACGTTATTGAATACTGCAAGGAAGGAGGTGATAATGCCATATATTTACGTGTAATAAATGAAAACAGCTGAATGAATGAAAAAAAGAAAGAGATGAACTACATGAAGTTTTCTTTTAACGTAGACACTGAGTGGGTGGTGGCAAACCAGGAGCTGTGCGAGAGACAGGGATTTGTGGTGCGCGGCCTCCCGGTGGGAGAGAAGATCAACTTTAGGGTGGTGGCAGTAAACATCGCCGGGCGCAGTCCTCCTGCTATAATGTCACAGCCCGTCACCATCCGTGAGATCGTCGGTGAGTGAGTCAGATTCACAGCCAAATAAAGTGAGCAAGTATAAATGTAAATAGCACATTTGGATGTAGCATAGTTTTGTTTGTGTTGACCACAGAGAGTCATACGGCATGTTATGATAAGAAGTTTAAACAGGATGTCTGTTTCTTCTTCAGAACATCCAAAGATCCGCCTTCCTCGTGACCTGAGAACAAAGTACATCAGGAAAGTGGGAGAGAAGATCAACCTGACTATCCCCTTCCAGGTTAGAAAGGATGAGTTTCTGTGCACTAATCAGTATAACAATCAGTAACAGTGATATCTTAGTGAGAGCAGCAGCTGAAACCAAATTTAGTTTTTTTCTTATGTTCAGATCCTAAAAAGCATTAGAATAATAAATTAGGAGCTTACTTTAAAAACAAAACATAGTTTTTTAGTTTGTTTGTTTTTTTTGTTTTTGTGCATCATTTTAATAATTTGAGTATTGAAAGTATGTAAAAAAAAAAAACAACAACCTGAATCTACATTTTTTAAGTCATAAAACTTGATTATGTTTTTGCACCACAGGGCAAGCCACGCCCCGTCGCAACCTGGTTCAAGGATGGCAAACCGCTTGACGAGAAGATGGTCAACGTGCGTAACTCAAACGTGGACAGCATCCTGTTCATTCGCTCAGCAGAGAGAGAGCACTCTGGAACATATGAGCTGATTCTGAAGATTGAGAACATGGAGGACAGGGCCAGCCTTAACATCAGGATTGTTGGTATGACTCCCAGGACTCTAGACGACTTAGCCCAGCTCATTTTACATTTTCACTCATCATTAAATCAAAGAAAAGGCACACGAGATGATGCAATATTCATCAGAGTTTAGAAGCTTACACTAACAGAAGTTTAACCCCAAACAGACAAGCCTGGGCCACCTTTGAATGTGAAGGCGACTGACGTCTGGGGCTTCAATGCAGCACTTGAGTGGGAGCCCCCCAAGGATGATGGCAACTGTGAGATTTCTGGATACACTATCCAGAAGGCAGACATGAAGACCAAGGTGAGAAAGGGAAAGGGGGGTGTTTTCAGTCTTCGTCAGCGCCACAGTCACCTGCCAAGATGTCCAGCGAGGACCTGTATACTACGCAGGACGTTATCTCTCTGAATCATCGCTCATGACTCACTTTACCTGCAGGGACACTGCTTTCTTACTTTATTCACGTTTTTATTTAACTTTGTTGCATCTACTGTGGTTTCAGATTAGTTTCTTTTGGCATGGTCTATTCTATTTTATTGTGCTACATATCATTCTGCTTATTTAAGCTATTTGTTATATACTGTTTAACTTAATTTTTAACTTTTGCAATCAAGGATTATTCCTAACTCCAAGTTAAAATAAAACCTTTTAACAAATGCGGTCTTTCTTTTGTTCTCCACATAGACCGTTTTATCGGCATGCTGCCAAAGCCTGCGCAAACGTGATTGGTCAACAGAACATGATATACAAGCAGACCAGAAATCTTGGCCCCTGCCTACAGATTATGCAGACATCTGTTTATATAAACAGTTTATAGCTTAGTGGATTTATGAAGAGCTGCAGGTCTTGCGAGTCTGTTTGACCAACCTGCTTCATGCATTCAAAACAGAGAGATCACAGCTGACAGGAGGAAGTGTGTGCTTTGGCTGCATTCGCACAAAAGCATATTTATTTGTGCTTTATGGAGAATTACAGAATAACATGCTATTTATCTGATTCACTGATTTGTTCTGGCCAATCCTGCTTACTCTTGTCATCTTTGCATCAGAGAAGGAGCCAAATCTGAATCTTGGGTTTGCTAACATTAGCTACCAAATGCTGATTCTTTTACCTTTAGCAACACTTGGTTTGTTCTCCATGCTAGATTTGTGGGGGATTTTTGTGGTTTAATATAATATTATCACTTTTTTTCTCTTTCTAGGAATGGTTCACTGTTTATGAGCACAATAGACGAACAAACTGCACAGTTTCGGATCTGGTCATGGGCAACGAATACATGTTCCGCATCTACAGTGAAAATCTCTGTGGCCTGAGCGAGGAGCCGCGCATGAGCAAGAACACGGCTGTGATTGCCAAAACAGGTATGACAGTGTTTCCAATATTTACATGCAGTTGAACACATATTTAGGCCTAAAATGCTGCTTTTAAGTCATCTAAATACATCTAAGTTAGCCAAGTTATAAGTACAGTGTAAGCCATTTATTCCAATGGTGTTTGGTCTTTAGTTGATTGGTGTATATTCAGTTTATACCAACCATATTATCCTTAATGATTTACTATTTAATAAATAAGTAAACTTTTGATTTCATATATTCATGCTGCATTTTATTCAAAGAAGTACTTTATATTTGGCAAAGTTGTATTTTTGTTGTTCTTTTTAAACACGTGAGCTGCATGTTTAAGTTCATACAGTTCATTTCTGATTTCTGCAACCTTTTTTCCCTGATTTACCTCCCACCCTCTTCTGAAGGCTTGGAACTCAAATCAAAGCCCTACAAGGAGAAAGACATGTGCTGCTCTCCCAAGTTTACTCAGCCGCTGGTGGATAGAAGTGTTGTGGCTGGTTACAGCACTGCCATCAGCTGTGCTGTCAAAGGCTTTCCTAAGGTAAAAGCACATGTTAAAAATTGAGTCCCCTAATTAGCCAAGAAGTTTTAGCTTTAGCTTTCTTAACTCAGCTTGTTCAAATCTTAGCCTAAGATTGTCTGGATGAAGAACAAGATGATTATTGGGGAGGATCCCAAGTACTTGATGCAGAACAATCAAGGAGTTCTGACCCTCAACATTCGAAAGCCCAGCACCTTCGATGGAGGGAAATACTCTTGCATGGCTGTCAATGACCTGGGCAAGGATGAAGTGGAGTGCACACTTGATGTCCGAGGTAAGAACACTGGGCAACCGTCTGAGCGGGTAGAGGAGGACAGATGAAGGAACAGGAGGAACTTTGGTTATTTTAGGACAGGATGAGTCTTGATGGTTCTGCTAAACACTTTACAACAAAACAATGACTGCCATCACACTTGGACTCCAATCTAACAAAAGCTGACAACCACTATCTCTCTTGTTCTTTCACAGTTTACAAAGAGCCAGAGAAGTGAGAAACTGGACAGCAACGAATATGAAATTCAAATTATGAGCCAAACAGTGAATGTAAGCAGTGGACGTCACAATGAGGAGAGCACACTGTCAAGATTGAATCAAATAAAATATAGTGATCCTTGCTGTAAAAGTTGTTTATTCTGATTACATTTTATGTCTGTTAAAAAATTATTTCATGATTATTTATGTATATTGTGTATTCTTTATGAAGGTTCAAATCTGCTCAAGCACACAATAACTATCACGATCATATTACATTGAACATTAGTTGGGAAGCATTTTTATATTTATATATTTCATGGTACAAGAGTGTCAATCATCTCTGCTACACTTCCCTGGAGTACTGTCCTCTCCGCCTGAGGATTATCACCCCTATACTGAATAACAGCGCCACCGCCAGGAGTCCCACAGCCACTGCAAGAGCTGTTATGGTACCTGTGGGAGACAACAACTGTTTAGCTACACATGGCAAATATCCAAAAGCCTTGATATGTTTAAATGACGCAGTCTGTTCTGAATAATCCCAGAC